TGTGATGTGGCTAAAAAAATGGGATTTGGCAGTCTTCACAGTATAGTATAAAAGAGTCTTTTCAAACAAAGTTAATGTCAATTTTTAATATCAAATAAATTATAAATTTTTGCCAAAAATAAATTAATTAAAGGTCTAAAAAAACATTCGGCCACATGTATGGGACGTTTTCGAAATATAAATGTATAAATATGTATTATTAATTTATGTAAAACAACTTAAAATTATAACTAAACAGTAATATACACATAAATATTATAGAATTAAAATGAAGAAGAAACGAAATATGGATACATACGCGCGCACACATACATATACGCACAAAACATAGCAAAAAGTAAAAACTATATAAATAAAGAAGATTAATACTTTTAATTAGCAGATGTGTGATTTTTATTTACAATTAATTTGTGACTCACTCAACATATTTCTTAGGAATTTTTGCAATGTATTTTACGATGCAGAGGAGAAAACGTTGTTGTTCATTTGTACAAAATATTTGTGCACATTCTCTCGCAACGTGGCGTTGATATGTCTTTATAAAATACTAAATGTGCTTGCAACTGAATTATCTTTGAAATTAAAGTGAATGATATTTTAGATTATATTACATACATATATATATTATATATGTATATATGTATATGTATATGCTTGTATACATGTATAAACAGGCATAATCTGGATTTATTGCTTAGTGATTGCTTCTTTTTCCTGTATTGTCTTCTTTCTTCCTCTCAAACAAGAGCAAAAATCCAAAAGTAATGTAAACAAGTCGAATAAGAATTGATGATACATTACGGCGTTAGCCGACACCACGTGGCAACATAATAGATAAAGAGCTAATGGAACAAAATGTGTTAATTCCTTCTTAACGTTTGCCCATAACGTGTATGTTCCATACGGTCATATTTGATTGTTAATACGCCTTTAGAACTAAGAAATACATTATCAAAACAGAAGAATACTTTTTTTAAATACAATTATTGCATACCTAGTCTTTTTAGTAATTATTTTTCTTACGAAATAATATTACACGAAAAATAATACACGTACACATATTTATAAACTATGTACAAATATGGTGAATATAATTCAACAATTTTTCTAATCTTTATCACAGAAGGAAAGCAATAACGTAATCATATGTACAATAGTATCGTAGCGATCTAAAACTATGTATTGATCGACATAGGCTTTAGAAGTTCTGATATCAGATTATTATCTTTCTGCTCCTTTTCAAAAGTATTATATTTTATGAACGAAAGTAATCGATACATAAATTATCTGAAAATGACTGCAAATCTATAAGATGACGCTTTAAATTATTGTTTGATATAAAATATAATATATGTATAATAATTTAGGAAATAATACGTTAATGTAGATACAAAAAGTTTACAATTGAGTTTTGATCAAATTAGAATAAAAACTCGACAAATTCCATCGTATTAGTACAATGGGCGATTTATACGAAGACGTGACGTTATTGCATTGACACCGTTCTCTTTTCTGGCAAGAAAAGATGCACTCTCCGCGATGATAATTGCATCTTAAGAGCAGTTATCTTTACGAGCGCCATTTAATTTTTTTTTTCAACATTACAACATATCGCCCGTTATTTAACTGAAATAGCGAATACGTTTTTACAGGCCTTACCTCTTGAATATCCGTATTGAATCAGAAATGAGCATTACTTTTTTTTCAACAAATATTATATTTGATATTCAAACATGACGAAGGGAATTTTTTAAGTAACAAAACTATAATGAACACAAAGTATTTCGTTTAATTATATATGTAATCAAAGTGAATTTGTAATTTTAGCATTAACGATCAATGATTTTCATCGCTTGATAAGAGAGTCTAATAGTCCAAGTAAAGTTAGCGTTGTGATTACTCATTTCTAATAAAAAATTAGAACTGCTGAAGTTTACAGTAGCCAAAAATTATTAGTAATAACACTATTGAGCATTCTCTCTCTCTCTCTCTCTCTCTCTCTCTCTCTCTCTCTCTCTCTCTCTCTCATACTAAATATATTAAAAACGATTAGCGTGTTGTATGTATGGCATTATCTAATTGTGCCACGTTTGATTGCAAATGTACAACTGCAACTAAAGATCGATGGAAATATATGAATAAATCGATTGCCAATCATTCAATGTCGCAGTAATCGCTCGCATGTGTTATTACATACATTAAATAGCAGGTTGATGCTAATATTTCATTGCCATCCGACGACCGACGACGACCGACGAGAAAAACAGATGCCAAGTTAGTCGACAATTACTGAAGATTCGTGTTATTATCGATTCTATGTATTCGTATGACTAGATTCTATATATATTCTATATATATAGATCGGTGTTACGAATATCACGGGGACTTAAGTCGACGCTTATCAATGTGATTTTCGCCGAAAACAATCGCAGCTAATAATAAGAAACGAAGGCTACAAATAAACGTACGCTCATTGAATTCGAATAAAGGCTTCGCAAGCATTGCCGTTTCGTTTGCCGTTCTGTAAGGTAAGACCTTTCAATTGCGTCTTCTTCCCCTATCGCTTAACTGATCAAAGGAAATCAACATTCGCGTGTCGTTTGCGCGGTAACGAGAGCCGGATTGTTTCGAAACCGGTATTCCGTTGAAAGAGGATATTATACAAACGAAAAGTACCGAATCTACCTAACTGGAGTAGCGGCGACTTAAATATTCGTAAATTAAATACCATGCGTTATGTTAAATACAATGTGTCCGAATAGTAACTTTCGCAAACGAGAGAATTCTTAAGTAATAAGGAAGTAACTACTTGGAAGTAACTATCAACTTGATTGCCACGACAAGAACGAGAAGAAAAATAACGAAAGTATATACATATTTATATATTTGTAAAAACTAAACGTCACAACGCTCTTTTCTTCAACATCGTCTGATTCGATGACAGCGTTAAGCGGGACTAAATTAATGCCGATATTATCGACACAAAAATTAGACCGTCTCCAATCGTCGCGATATACAAATTCGTTTCCGTGTTTAATATGTATATATATTATTGACACTATAACAATACTGTTTTGTGACTTGTCGTTATACCACTCGCGTAGCCTCTTCTGTACAACAGATGTTGAAACGTGCAAAGATTTTATTCATAACGATTACAGTCCTGAGAAAGAATTTCCCGTCACTTAGAGGACGTTAATTTTGAAGTATCGACGTCGACAAGACGATATTAACGAAATCAATCGTGGAATTGGCAAAAATAGTCTCGCGATTGCGCTGGCTATAATCGAGGGTATTCGTAACTATAGGGTGTCGCGCTAATTAAATTAGCAGCGATTATATTCTTTCGGCGGGTTTTTGTAAATACAGTGCTATAATATATGTACCCACGTACTGCAATCCAGTTTAATTATTATAATCATTGCTCGACTGAAATTTATAAAGCTAATTTACAAATTAACATTTACGTACTTGGAAAACAAGAAACTGTTTAATCTTATTCGAGATTGTAAATCAATTCTAATAGAAGAATGTCCTTCATGATCTTGGTATTCAACATTATTACGCATCTTGGTTATGAGAGACGTACATGACTGTAAGTTAATTGGTGCTGAACCAGAATTAAAAAAGGTAAAATCCAATTTAACTTGTTATGTACACGAGATGAAAGTAATCAAGTAATCTCATATTCATTTAATCGCGATCCAAAAACGCACAGATCGAGTATAAATCATTGATTAGTGCGGATTAACTAATTCTTTAACCGACACCTGGACACATATTTCCGTATCTTTTCCTCCTTCAGTAACACACAATTCCCACACAATTTGTTCTACTTCATTAATGGAGTAAAACTTTATTGAAACTATTATGTAATAACACGCATTATTTAATTTAACAATTTTCTCGAAACAATAATTACGTTAGCTAGAAAAAGAAACAATACTTTAACGATAAGATACAGTTGGGATTGTAAATATGTGTCACTTTAAATAGGATTAATAAATAATAAGTTGTGTGAATTAAAGTAAATGAATATAAATATACCATTATTTTTATATCTATAAATGAGTATTGGTTATAAAAGCGGACGCATTCTCATTTCAATTATTACTATGTGTGTGTACATACACGTGGCATATATTTTTATGTCAATGAGCTATTGTTATCGTCCTGACATACGGGTGCATCTAATTACAAAATGTTCTGCACTTCATAAATAGTCGAGTCAGATTATTTCTAAAAAAAGAAAAACACAGAACGAATTCATTAAAGGAATCACCATAATGTGGCATAACGAAGGAAAGACAGTTCTGTAAAATCGCGAGAATCAGATTAAAAGGAGGCCGTCAAAGGTGGAAAAGAGCTACGTCCTCGACTCTGAAGAAAATACATCAAGAGATTTACAGGACCGACCTCTCTATCGTGGCTCTCCAAAGTTATATTCGTTCGGGTATCATACAAATATTCGCAGAAGCGGTACGTTTCCTTCTCTTGCAAAGTGTTCGGCAAAGTTTGTCGTTCAGTCGGAATCTCCTTCGTTCCTCCGCAGGCACGATTTTATTGATCCTCACGAAGCACGACACACTTTTCATTGGCTATGAAAGCTTACTTAAAAATCTAACTTTGGCAATACGACATAATTTATATATACGTGTATGTCTCGAGTTTTATGCAAGATATATCCGGCATATTCGCGCGTGTTTATTGTGAAAAAAAACGGCGATCTTCTCTCTATCACACCTTCGTTTTCGTCTATTTGGCAAAGTGATGGATAATGTCTTGGCAGGATTGTGTGTGTGTGTCTGTGTGCGTGTGTGCGTGCGTGTGTGTGTGTGTGTGTATTTTGTGCGTATATATGATCAGGTTTAAATAGGCGCACGCGCGAGTGTATATGTGATACGTATGTGACGGTTGTCTACACAAATGTGTATTTTTTTTTGCGCTTGCTTAGAACCTTGGGAACATTGTTTTGTCTCAAAGACTGCTGCCAAACTCACTTGATCTCCGTCGATCAATATGCTTTATGTATGTTTCTGAGTATATGCTCTTGGTGCGATCGTCGTATCTGAAAACAAAATTGAAACAAATTGAGAGCTACTTCTCTGATAAAATTGACATAGTAGGATTCGTTTGTATGCATAATGGTTAGATGATATTCTTATACGTATGTACTGCTTATTGTGAGTTGTGTTAAAGGGAGCTGTTGAAATAATTTTATCTTTCGGTCTTTCTGCTACGCAGAATAAGTAAAAGTTCTCAAAACACTACAATAGCCACCTTATATGTAGCTGACGAAACATTTATTTGCGCATTCTACATGTTTTTAATAATTTTGTGCGCAAAAAAAAATAACAGTATCAAGCAATCGGTCTATTTTATTCGATATAACAATACTGTAAAAAAGTAATATAACTTGGTGAAAAGAGAACTAAGTGCGTCGTAACGTCAGTTGTAAAATATAACAAAGAAATTTCATTTTCCTCGTTTACGTATATTTTGTATCGCAGCTGAACTCCTCAATCTGTGTAAAAAAAGTAGATATATACCAGAGTTAGTCAAACCGACTCAATAGACAGATTATTTGTTAGGTTTTAATCCTCGTTGAATAGAAATCAATGAATTGTCACGTTTTAATATATTATGTTTAATACTAATCGTAAGCTGCGTTGAACAACAATATTTGTTGTGCAATGAATAGGTAATCATTTCGTTTAGATTCTTTTGATTCTCGTATAGTTGTCAGTTCAATCATCATCGCGCATCATCGCGGATGCAGCTCGCGCGAGATACGCAATATATGTAATTGAACAGAATAATGGAGTAATTGGCGCAGGGAATGAAAATGGAGATACATGACGCCATGCATCCACGCAGATTAAATTAGGTTTAACTTATGAGTTTAATGATCGTTTCTAAGAACTGCGAATGTAACGCTTTCGTAATAAATTCGAACTTGTACTAAACGCGACAGAAATGTGTGAAAAATAATACAGCTTCTCTTTAGATTTAATAAAATCAACGTAGCATAGAACGTATAAAACCCAGAATGGCATTTCTATATTCGATTTTGGCAAGGTAAAAAAGTTACGATGCGTTGTTATTAAGAGATTGCTAAAGTCATCTGTTTTACCGACACATTCGAATATAGTTTTTGCGCTGCTGAATCTTTTTATTAGTTTTTACGCCCAAAATAATACCAGGATAAGTTGCGGACCGCATAGCAGAACGTTTTTATACTTGAAACACTCGGGTCAGAAGTCTAATGAGAAAGATATTGGTATTTGAAATTTTCGATTTTTTAGTCGTGAGCAATTTGAATTTGGCTTTATAAAATTACAAAATTCTTCCACGCGATTACAGTACGCGTAAAAACAAAGCGGGGGGTTCACGACTTTATATAAAAAACGAAGAGAAATTAAAAATATCAGCATGTGAAGCCTAACCACAATTACTTATAAAGCGATATTTTTAATTTCTCTTCGTTTTTTATATAAAGTCGT